AGTTTATATAATATTAAATATTTTAAATATGGATATGTGAAATTAATGTGTTCCATCAATATGAAATAAATCAGCAGGTAAAATTAGTAATATTATGCAATACTTTCATATAAGTGGACAGATGTTTATTTATAATATGTAAGTGTATTGCATCTGTATGTCAACAGCATTTTTCAAGTGCATGGAATTTAAGTTTGCCAGTATGTACAGTGTTACATTGGCTTCCAAAGATGTGAAATATGCAGAAATCTATAATACTGAAATGCTTGCAAATAATAATAAATGAGATTTATTTTGCTTACTAAAGAATGAACAAAACTAAACCAAAATTTTTCAAAATGTATTTTAGTGATGCAGAAGCAGAAATCTGACAAACTTAGTTCCATCCCCAGTTGACTGAAAAAAGTCTTAGTATTGCTGTAAACTGACTTGATTTTTTTCCTCACTGATGCACAATCTGGAGTAATTGCATCTTCTGGTTTGTGTTAGGTACAGGCTTAGAAGCAAACCTTCTGAGAAACTTTGCGATACATCTACGAGAGTGACAAAGACAATGTGGTGTTGTGTGGCTTCTTACTCCATGGCACAGAGAAATGAGCAGCCCAGCTGGCCTCTCTGATTACATAATTTAAAGAGCATCAAGTTAGGATGTTATCTGGCTATTCTAGTATATTATATCACAGAACAGTGTTGTATAGCTAAAACGGCAGGAACAATTTGAATATTTTCTAGATATGTTCTTCTTTTTGTAAGGAAATATTAGAGACATGATGTACATTGGCTACCAGTGGGAGAAATATGAACAACTAACTTCGACAGACCTTAACATAAGTAATTAAAATATAAAATCCTGAAGAAGAATTGTATACACCCATTTTCAAATAAGTAGAATTAGTATGTGTTATTCAGCCTCAGCTCATTCTTTTTTTTATCAAAGGGACTTAGTTTGGTTAGTGTTTCTTGCTGCAAAACAATGCACAATGGAGGAACTGGAATTAAGTAATGTCCAAACTATAGCAGAGTATTTCAGCTCCAAATGGCCAACATTTGCTAGCATGCTATGAATAATATTTAACCAGTGGAAAGTATTCAGGGTCATCATAACCTTTGGGGATGAGACAGTTTGTATTAATGCCTTGTGCTCATTAACAGCTCTTTTTAGCTTGCCAGACTGCAGCTGGCTTGGCAGGTGGATCAGAACTGTTAATGTGGAGGAATACAGGACAAAAACCGGGCACACGCAAGCACACAATTAACACAAACTGTATCTAGATAAAAACCAGAAGGTTATGATGTCCTTTCATGTCTGGAAAAAACCAGAACACGTTTAGTTGAGAAAAGACTTTTTTCCTTCGAACAGAAAATGCAACGCACACATTTCTGTACAGCAAATTTCTGTTTTGTTAACTTTCCCTGCCCATCAGTTTGCATGTCAGAGAATCGTGATGCTGCAACACACTGAGTTCCACCAAAGGCTGCCAAAAGCAATTCACCGTCAGTACCATTATTATGATGCTATACAAGACTGCATCAAACCTCAGATCAAACACGCAACATGCTCTTTTAAATCACTAGTAGAAATCTTTGGTCCCTATCAAATTATTACTGTTCTTTCTCAAATGTCACAACTGAGTGATGACGGTAAGATTGCTACATTCCCAAATTAGCTACCATAAAAAACAAACTATAAACAGAAAATTTTAAAACAGCAGGTTATTGAGTCAGGAAGAGGGAAGATATGACCCAAATCTGCCTATGGGAATATTTTCTACAAGATAAAGTAGAATTGTAAGTCACTGAGAGATGAGCTTTGCTCATGACTATGAATAGGTGTGTGTGATGGGAGTAACATGCAGTTCTGGAATAAGGTATAAATGAGTAAGACAAGAAATGCTAAAGGAGCTTTGAACTGCAATACCAACAGAAGCAAGGCATCTTCAGAAAAAAGGAAAGCATAGAAGATGATATATAAAAGGGTTTCATCCTTTCCATTGATTTCATTTAAGAGCCATGCTTGCAAGAGTTTAAAATTCAAAGAAATACATGCCAAGTATGCGGTTATTCTCTGCTTGCTGGCATTCTCTGAACAGTGATACAATCACTGTGAGTCATTATCAACAGAAAGCACAGAAATGGAAGCTCATGTGAAACAAATTGAGCGCAGTCAACACAAAGAACCCACCTTCATGACCAATAACAGATCTCGAGGCTGTCTGGAAACTAATAATTCCTGCCACATTGTCACTTGCCAGAATAATCACTGTGACTGTGTCAAAACTGGGCAGAATACGACTCCCTCCTTCAGTATGGACCAGGCTGATTATGATACTTTCATTATCCTCTGGCTCTGGATCATCTAAAATGGTCAGTGTGACCACCTTTTTTGTTTCCCCTGCAAGGAGAAGAACATATACATACTTGTGTGTGTGCACATAGACATCACCTTTTAGAGACAGTTAATCCTCTCATTTTGTAGGAAATACCTAAAAAATATAAAAAAGAACATGAAGCATATTTATTTATTTACCTGTCTAGAAGCTACTGAATGTCATGAAGTTTTATTCAATTACTATTGAAAAGTAGACCAATGTCATTATCAAATTATTAAATATACTATGTAGAAATTAACAATGTAGGCACGATTTCTGAAGGTCTAGAATCTTTACTTGCATTGTAAGTTCTCCGACTTTCAAATTTAACTTAGAAAAAGGGAATATCATCTTGTAAAAAAATTACCAAGTGCATAAATTCTCTGATGAACCATATACACAAGTATGTACACTCAATTTCAACATATTTTCTGGGCCATGAAATGCATTACAATAGGCTGTCATGTTGGTTACTTGTCTTCTGGGCTATCAAAGAATGATAGTGTAAACACTATCAATTAGCAGTCTGCACAATCCGTCATATTTACAACACAATGCTGTTGCTAGTACATGTAAATAATCAGTGTTTTATGATTATGAGGATATCAGTTTACGAGATACACATATTTCTTGCTACATTGTGTTTCAAAATACTTTGAAAACAGTTTTTACTAAACTTATAAGCACTAAAGTAATTACATGTCAGCCTCAGTATCACTGCTGGCAACCATTCTTTTGAGTTCAGCTGATTCAGGAAGCTAGCTAGCACACTAGAATCCTTACTATACTCCCATAAATTCTTTCAAAGTAACTGTTCAGTCAACTCTGACTTTGAAAATATAAAATATATCTGCCATGCTGTGTGGTACTTAAGTAATGTCTGCCATTGACTTGTTTGTCCTGTTTGCAATTTTTTTAATATGCTGGAAATCAATATGATCTCAGAACCTAAAAAGAGACATCATGAAAAATTAGTACTGTACTAACTGAAGGTTAACAAAATACCATTTAGGCTTGATTCTCATTGTCATTATCCTTGATATAACAACTATCTTCAGCATTATTATTCCTTATATAGTTGATAAAATAATGTACATTGCAATATTTCTTAAAAAAATACATATATATCTATGCTTTTCATTTTTTATTTTTTTTTACTACCACTGTGTGTGTTCTGCAACATAACTGCTACATGTTAATGAACTATATTGTTTTGCATATGTATCCTGAGCATTCAGGGAGGTTTAGCCTAAGAATAAGACATCTATTATCAAAACGTCCACAGGACAGTGCTTGTCAGGTTCTTTTTGCTATTCTTCAGTTTTATAAAACAGAAACTATTGTCAAACGTTGTCTCACCTTCAGCGAACACCAGAATCTCACCAACACCTACAAAATCCAAGTTTGGGGTAGCAGTTCCACCAACCACATGCCATTCCACCATCACCTGTCCCAGGCTGCCTTCTGTCCTATGTATCATTAGCTGCACGTTGGTCTGAGGACGTTCTTCTACTTCGACATACAGACCTTTTTCTGTCGCATTGGGACTTATGCTGTAGATCTTAAATACTCCAAATGCATCTCCATTCATCATTATGATAACTGTGGAAGTATTTGGCTGTCCTATAGTCGGCTGATTTTTTAAGCTGGCTGAGACGTTCATCAGTTCAACTTTCAAAAGCGATACAGTGAATTTCTCATCCAACTCTGGCAAACTGTCAGGGAGAACGGTAACTGTGAGATTTGCAAACTCTTCCCCTTCCTCCATTATGGCCCACTGTCCTGTAACAGGTTCATAGTCACTACCAGCAATGGCTTGTGTGCTAAAGAGAGCAGATGCACTGGTGACGTTTTTCTTGTAGGTCCAGAATCCTGAAGTGTTAGCAAATGGGCTGAGCTCTGATGTCAGCCAAAGGCAGAGAGGAATCTCAGAGGCACTGGAAAATGTAAAGGCTGAACACACTTGTTCTTTTAGGCACTGAGTTGCACAGGCGTACAGCGGGTCACTTGCTGCCGACACGTTTATTCTGGTCGTGGATGGTTGGTCAGGAATTCCTTGTACAGGAGACTCATAAAAGGCCAGGATATCCTGACCATGCTCAATGGCAAGAGCTACGACGTCAGTCTCAGAAGTGCTGTAAAATATCTGCAGCTGACCAAACCTTCCCCCGCTAAAAGACATTAAAATAAAAACATAATGTTAGTTGATGTCTAATATACTGTATGTCTACATACTACTGTATGTAGTTAGTATGTCTAATATACTGTACGTTTCTGGGTTAAGAATAAAAGTGAACACAATCACTTATGTTCTGAATTGCTGAAAACTTCCAAATAGATAATTAAAGGGGATTCCCTTGAAGCTAGTACCAGAATAATTGAGTTGTCATTTTTTCGGGATAGCAAGTTCAATTATTTATAGCTTGGGTAGCAGTCTGTTAAGAATGCATGTTTGCAGACATTTGTTTCTAGGAAGTAACTTAATTTTCTTAGGGCTGGCAAGGAAGAAAAAGCCTGTGCTGCCCAACCTTGCCATCTTTCCTCCTAGATGTCCTCAGGGTATTGTATCACATGCATAAAACCTGTTTTCCTTTTCTTGTTTCTTTCCATCCCACAAGGATTGACCCATTTTGTGCTCCAGTTCAAATCACAGGAGCAGGATGTTGTGCAGTTTTAAACAATTTGATGATTAAATAGGCAAAATGAAACTTCAAGTACACTCTGTACATTAGGTTTACATTGTACATTACAATGTATATTACATTAAAGTACTTTATGTAAGCAGTCATCTAGTTCAAGAACAATGTATATGAAACAAAAATGCATTGAGCTGGCAGATCAAGAAATTTGCAAATACTTTTAAAGAGGAGCATGACATTTGAAATTATAGCCAAGACAGGAAAAAAAAAAAAGAAAAAATAATAGATATAAATAAAGCAAACATTATACAAACCTTCGCCTGACTGTTATATTTGCAAGCAAATTTCTTTCTAGTGGCTCCTGAATTCGATATAAGGATTGATGAAAGAAAACTGTGCCATAAGGATTATCATTGGCAGGAATTATAATATTTGCCACGCCATCTAACCCAATAGCACCACCATTGGAGGCCTGAGTTAATTCTACATGGACAATCTCAAAAAGAAAAAAAAAAGAAAAAGAAATAATGCAGCTAAACAATTTTTGGCATTTCTAACAATAATCACAAGCAAAGTAAAATCTGAATTTCTTGCACCTTCCTGCCAGAACATTCCTTGGTTTTATTTGCACACATTTCTATAACAAGTTAAAACTCTAATAGTATCCAAGAAAGACATAACCGCTTTACTTACTTCTTCTATTTCTGGAACATCATCAGCCAGGATTTCCAACAGCAACATCTGAATGGCTTCCCCAGGGGCAAAAGTAATATTACCCAAGGCGACCTGCAAGTCAGCATCAGCAGGATGTCCATTAACGGTAGCAACCCACTGAACGGTAACATTACCCAGTGTCCCAGCGTTGCGGATTATTGGCAGACTTATGGTTACTGATCCAAATTCAGGCTCCTCCACAGTGAATTCGGTGATCTGAAAAACTAAAGTACAGCACAGAGAGACGTATTTCATTAACGATGACACTGAAAGTAAATACATCTACTCCTGAAGTACACAGTGCGTTTACTTGCACAGGTAAGTCACTTTTAATCAGGTTTAAACTTAAAAGCGAACTTTCAGTATTAATCTTTTCAACTGCAGAGGAAATTAGTGTGAAAATTAAGCCCTCATCCAAAAAGTTTATTCCAACATACCCAGTGTGTGAGGCTAACCATGAGCCATTTCTAGGCTCTTAGAAGACAATTTCATAATTATTCCCAGCAAGGAAACTCTTTAGTTGCTTTCACGTCACTTAGTGAAAAAGTAAGTCAGCATATTCCATCTAAAATTCTTTCAAGTAAAAGTTTTCCTTGTACTAAACTTCTAGTTTTTAAGAAATAAATTTATTAATTATCCATCTGGAATTATTTATTTTTGACATTTTTTTCTTTCTTTCCTCTACCTTCTTCTACTGACAAAATGGAACAATTAAATGGAACAAAAGAGGTATTAAGTAGGGAGAAAAGGGCAAATCAAAGGAAAAGGCAGGAAAACACACAAAAAACCACAAACCAAAACCAAAAAAGATAGATTTCTAAAACATCATTAAATCCTTAAAATCATCAAAACCCTTCTCAAAACCTGTGTAATGAAACTAATCTTGGAAAGTATTCACAATTCATTTTATTGGTAATAACAGGCAGAAGAAAAACTAAAGTACTTGACAGAAAATAAGACAATGTAATTTCATTTCTCCTCCTATTTTTCAATTTCCCCAGCTTTTTAAATCTGCTTTGGCTGATTATCTAGTAAAAGAAAGATACCAAAGTACTTAAGCAGCAGATACTAGAACGCAGATTTTGGCTTAAACCTATTGCAGAAATGTAGCACTTAGAATAGATAAAAAAATAAAAAAGTAAATTAAAATCCATCTATCTCTATTGGAAGATTCCAAAATGTTGCTATATCAACTGACTAAATAATATTTTTTTGTTTTATTAAAGCACCATTACTCCTTATTTACATGTTTTAATTTAGTTTATCTTATCGTTTCCTTTACTGTTTTCATCCAGGCTTCCTCTTTGTCTTCTGAAAGCTGTTATTCAGTTGCCCAGTAACAGCTCACCCACAAATCTGCACTAAAAGTATTAACAGAAGAGAGAAAATATGCAAATAAGATGCATTTACCAAAGGATCCAAATGGGTCATCAGAAGCCTCAATAGTTATGATCGCCCTAGTCAAAGATCCAAGCAAGGCTCCTCCTGTTGTTTGATTCAGCAGCTGAACATAAAATGACTCCTCCACTTCAGGATTGATATCATTGATTATATAAATTGGCACAGCTTTACTTGTTTCTCCTTCAAGTAAGACAACATCCGATGAGGCTACACTGTAGTCCTCACCTAGATTTGTAGATGAAAAAAACCAAAACAATAAGACACATAGAATATTAATGCATTATGTTCACTGTAATGAACATTGTCAGTAACAGTTATCTTCTCTTTTTGCCTACACAGGCATTCGTCTGTGTTTTATGGTGTTTTGGGGTTTTTTTACTTTATCTTCAAACCCAGACAACACAGTCTTTTTTATTTCCTATTGCCTTTTAGAAATCTGTGTGGATTAAAATAAAACTTGGCTTGGCCAAAACAGAGTTTGCACTGTTAGACCAAGGGGTAGTTACAACAGGTCCATTATTGTCTTCCATTGACAAGGTCACACTACCAAGAGGTTTCTGTCTTTGATTTCTAATTGCTCTCTGGCTTTCCAAGAGATAAAAGTGAACAGAAGCACCTTTGTTAAAGTAGATTATAGTAAAGGGCACATTTTGTGCGTGGACCTCACTTCAAGGCAAACTCCTCTCTAAGAATGTCAAGATGAACAACTGTGACACTCTAGATAATGGCTCTGCTTCAGAAACTAATTGAAAGCATATTCTGACATCAATCTAGCTACATACTTATTTAGAAAAGTCTGTTACATAACAAGGAAACTAAAATACCCGTTCTTAGAGAATATACCACCCACATATTCAATCTTGGACACGGCTAAAATACAGTGGCTTTGATTTATAACTGTCTAAATGGTTTTGACCCTGCACACTTCATAAGTTTGCTCCTTGCTTTATGTACTTTCTCTATAGCCGGGACCAGCTGGAGAACTTAACCTCCCATTGTTAGAAGCTCAGGTCTTCTTGGGTTTCGATTGCTTTTTGCCTGTTTGTTTTACAGCTGAGTCCCCAGCTCTCACTTCCTCCCCAATAAGCTCACCTAAACAATGCATGGTGGGTTTAAATATACACACAGGACTAAATAGTAGCTACATATACTACTACAGGATTTTTTATTTTTATTTATTTTCTTTTTTTGAAGATATGGTGGGCTACTAGAGAAACAAACACCCTAATTCCTTCACTCATTTTTCTTGCTAGATGTCTCAGAGCTTTCTAAAAGCTGATGCATGATATCCCCCATAGGGCTTTGATTCCTATTTGCTAAGTAGAGTCAGTAAATGTTTTGCAACTCTTTTTTCGTATTTGTTACACAATAGTGCATTCAATACACACTTGTATGCTTTGACTGCTCAAAGAATACAGTATGCTCTTTCCACTTTAACACAGACTGCGTACTTCCGCTATTCTGATTCCTTACCAGCTGTTGCAGTTATTGGCATAGCTTTAAATTTCACAGAAACATCTGCAAATAATCCCCCAGTTCTGGTCACGTTAATGATTGGTCCAACATAATTTTCAGCAACTCGCACAGTTGAAGCTGAAAGCTGAAGTGTTCCAAAAGCATCATCATTGGCATTGATAATTACATGAGCTATTGTCTCACCCACTTTTCCAAGTCGAGGAGAATTTACAACTGAAACGTAAAGAAAATTTAGTGAGGGGGTGCCTGAGATTCTTGCTATCTATGGCTATAGAGTTCACAGACATACATGTGAGTTTAGTGGTTAGTCACCACTAGCTTTCATCAAAATAATCTTTTTTGGAATTTGACAAAATACAACTACAAAAGGCACCAACATACTTTTGGTGTTTGAATTATATTCTTGCAGAAAAATCCCAATTTTTAATAACTTATTATTCTACCCTACTGAGGATCATACGAGCCATAATTTTTTTTAAGAGATGAGGTACTGTGAAATAATTTCTTTATTTATTTGTCCATAAGGCCCGTAGTAAGATGAATACAGTTCAGAAGAATTTAATTTTTATATCTGCTATGTTGAAATATAAATAAGATTTCAACCTCCCAGCAGAATTGTATTTGATATTTCCCTTAACATCAAGATTAATCTGGGGCAGGGACAGCAATTAGACATGCCAAGAAGCTTTGAAGCACAAATCAGGCAGTAATGACGTGAATTTAGCTGAATGAAGGATGAAACAAACATCCTCTACACCAAAAAAGCAACATGCAGCTGCAATTCTACACCACTTTATATTTAGAAGACTTTTTTGGCTTTCAGTAAGCAAAACTAGCTTAATTATTTCTTAATAACTGTACAGAACAACACTAGATGAACAGGTACTAGTGCACAAAAACAATACTGTGTCATATTTGGCCTGAAAGGCCTTGGATAAGGTGATGCAAAAGGGATAAAGAAATGCTCATCCATCCCTGACAAAATACTGTGCTAAAGGAAATATATGCCAACAGCACACTCAGAGATTTATTAACTATACAGAGTTTCGCAGAGACAAAAAGTCTACCATTTAACTTGTTGCATTTTATCCTATTAAATATAAATACTAGCCTTCATATTTAAATTGTAGGTTTTACATATGTAAGATACTTACTTGGCCGATCCTGTACTTTCTCAATCAAAACAATACTGCTTAGCTCCACAAAAATAGATTCTGACTTCTCAGGATCATCATCATCCAAAATAGGCAAAGATATTGTGGCCTCGCTTTCATTGGGTGCAAAGATCATATAACCTGTAATGGGTATATAATCTTTTCCCTCTATTGCTCTAACAACATCAGGCAGAAGAAAGGGTGACTTTTCATCATCGCCAATAGTTCTGTATGTTACCATTACTGTACCGAGGAGACCACCACGCCTTATTATTGACAAGGAGATATTATTTGTTTCTTCCTCAACTTTTATTGGTCTGTTTTGCTCAGAAAAGATGAAGACTCCATATGGATCATCATTAGCTAAAATAGTTAATGTTGCATTAGTATGATTTCCAAGACGACCACTGGAGACATTGACGATCAAAACTGAAAACACCTTATCCAATTCAGGAACTTCATCAGGAGAAACCTGCACTGTAATGTTCGCTCTCTCTTGGCCAACATCAAATGTTACATTCCCATCCATAGAGATCAGGTCTTTGCTAAGATCACAGACTATGATCCAATGCAGTGTCACCTGAGACAAGGCCCCATGTGTTCGCACAACCTAAATGAAAAAAAAAAATCCGTAAATTTTTGTTCTATGAGAAAGAAAAACATAAAAGTACAAGATGGAATAAAGCAAAGACATTGCAATGATGGGTTAAAAATAAATTTGTCTTTTAAAAATATAGTGTAATCTTTATCATCTCCACTTTGTTGTATTTTTTGTATCATCAACACTGCTATTTTAAGATAGTAGTACCTCAAATGTAAACAAGTAGAAGTAATTTTAAAACTGTGGATATTATTACTACATCATCATTTTAGCTTCAAGCTGAATGACATACATTAGAAAACTCAGTATGAAATAGAAAAACAGATATGCGTGATAAAGTTGTTATAAAACCTATAGACTTCTTGCAAAAACATAAGAACAGAACACCCAGTAAAAACAGAGACAGAAGAGGACTGCACAGCACTATGAGTCTCAAAGCCTTCTAACCTGCAGCACAATATCGCTCCGTTCATCTTCAGGCTCAGTTCCATTTACTGAGAGTGACTCAGCACTGAACTCAAACACACCATGAGCGTCGTCAGAAGCCTCAATAGTCACAAGGATGTGGGATGCAATTCCCAAGCTAGCTGTTAAGTGCAAGTTCCAAAAACGGTTATTTTTTCTAGCATCTTTCTTACATGAAAGAAAACAGCTAAATAAATATGTTAGAAAAAATACATGGAGCGCATGACTGGTGTATCCATGCTGTTTTGTCTTTGTCGTTTTGAAAAGCATGATAACTATCCACATGGATAAGGAACTGACAATAATGCAGTCCTGGCAGCCCTTCTGTGGAACTACGCAACAAAAAATATAATAAATATGCATATTTTAAGGGAGGAACAGAAATAAAAGTACAGGTTTAACACATGAAAATGGAGCAGAATTTAGGCTGGTGGGGAGTTACATGGTAAACCACAGTATAAGCAGATATAGTCCAGATGAATGCAGGTCTCATTCCAACATTAGCTGGAATGAAAAACAAAGGGAAAAAAAAAGGTCTCATAAATCCTACTACTGAAAAGATTGTTTTGGATGAGGTAACTTGCTGCTCAGAGACAGAAAGAGCCTGGCATTTAAGGAAACCATTTCTGGAAACAAGAAAAAGGGAAACCGCACTTAAAAAACCCCAGGAATCTCCAACAAGTGGCTAACCCACAGAATTACTCTTCAGATTCAAACTGAAATACTTTGCATTTACAAATAAATTTGAAAATCAGGCTGTCACAGGGGAATAAATTATTCGATTTGGATAATGGGTGCTCATAAAACATTTTCAGGTCTCTAGGGTTTAATTTGAAGTCCTATATTATTACGGTTTTTGCCTAGAATTTATATTACTTCTCTATCTAGTATTTTTTTATTTTAAAAGTATTAAATTATTAATTATTAAATTATTATTTTTTCCATATGTCATGATATAAATACATTCTTCAAGAGAAGAAATGAGAACCAATCAAAATATTCCTTTAAAAATCTAACATAGCTTACTTTTCTTTAAGAGTATTTTTGACACGCAGAGAATCAAAGTAACAGAAAGCATATAACAAGGCATACAATCAGGTAATTTTCAAATTACCTACAAAAGAAAAAGTGTCTTTGCTTTTTGCTCTCCAGAAGATTAGTTGATTTTCAAACACCATACCGGTGCAAAATTGTTTGCAAAATGATTTTGCAAACTGTACTTCTGGAATGACTATATTGTGGTTTACAACAATATAGTTTTGATGGTACAGAAGCTGTTATTTTCTGTGTTACACTAAACTCTGACTGCTATTGAAATTATGCCTAAATTAAAATGGAAAAGAATGTTTTGACAGAACTTTGTGACAAATCTGTACTGATCATCTGTAACAGCAAGTAGAGTAAAACTATGGCAAGTTGTGTCAGTATAGTAATTTATGAGGGATATTAGAGTTAGCAATAAAAAAATAGGATTAATCGAAAATGCTTACCATGTTGATGGACAGTTGTAAGGAAGAAATCCATGTTCCCATCACCACTACCACTGCCATCATTTCTAAAGAGCTCAGCAACTTTAAGATGACAGACATACAGATATATACAGATATATACATTTATAAATAAAGAGAAAGTAGAAAGTAATTTAAACATTTCTGGACAATGCAAAAGGAGAGGGAAGTATTCTAGGAAGGTATCAATTTTGGATGTGAAAGTACATGGGATTTCTGATAAAAGCCAGAAAAAGTATTTTATATGCCACATCTTATTTAATTTATAACATTGGAAATAGCAATGGGAGGTCAGAAGGAAAAAACACATACATCTCTGTTTTCTATTTTCTTTCTTTCTTTCCCTCTTTGTGTCCCCTCTTTTTTATTTCCCGTTTACCCCTCCTAAATGAAGTCTGTCATGGAGAAATTGGAAATGTGAATTAAAAAAAAATAAACCAGGGGCTAAACCCTCCAAACTCTCTTATTCTAATATTTTCTCACAAATTTAAAACATGTCAGAAAGTTTGAAAAATCTTCGGAAAACTTAACTAATGGGGACTTTACCCTAAGTTTAGTACTCACAATGGTGTTGGAGAGGTCAAAAAGAGGGTATCTGCCTACTCAATTACTGAAGTTAGCTCTAAGTTTTCCAATTAAAAAAAAAAAAAAAAAAAAAAAAAAAAAGAGAGAGAGAAAAGTTCATTTAACAAAGCCAGAATTTCACCAAAAAGTCCACATACATGAAAGGTCTTAAGTTTTTATCAAAAGAATCATTATGTTGCACGATAGTGCCATGATGCCCCATAGACATTCAAAGAGTAGTATGATATAACTTCCCAGAAAGCATCACACTTGCATTTCCGGATTGCTTAAAAAAAATAGCATCAGTTAAAAAGTCACTTTATGGCTGTCAACATTTCTACTTACTTTTTTTTCCTCCAACCAGCTTTACAATCTCCCTTAAAAATTTTCTCCAATGGAAACAAATTCCGTAAGGGCTGAGCGTTTTTTCTGTGGCAAGAGCACTGATGCTTGCCCTCCCCCCACCCGAGACTAACGTCTCACACCAGGATTTCCTTTGAGTGTTTTTCTTGTTCTGCAGAGCTACCAGCTACCCCTCCAGCTCAGATACACTCCCTACGCCTCTCAACACCCAGTCTCCTACTGCTATAATCTAGCTGAATAAATTATGAGCCAGAGTATCACGACTCCTCTGATTTCACTGAACTGGAAGATAAAACCTGTACTTTGGCAGTTTAGACTTAAATATTTTCTAAATATTTACAGATTTAAAAAAAATAATTTCAAATTAATATA